CGCTTCCAACCTGCACGCAACAATAGTGGTGACTGCTAACAACTGGAAAGTAGACAAAGTCTTGAGAAGGGTTTAAATCCCTTTTTATTCAACTTTAGAAATTACAAATGCGTGCTCTTGACGCTTGCAAACTACGCCGACCCGGCGGTAAAATAAAAATAAAAACTAAAAAAAGAATAATAACAAGTGACTAACTACGAGGCTCTCTAAACGTAACTAACCTCACCGCGTTCTAAGATACCGCTGATAATTCAGCAAACTTCTGAATATTACGTTGAAAAATTAACAATCTGCCGAGGCAAGCACAAAGGCCGAAACGCGTGGTTCTTCAATTTCTAACTAGCCACCTCCACGCTCGTGAAGCAGAAAGAACACACCTTTCGAACTCGTTTCCCTTCTATTTAACTCAGATTACTTCCGCTGACAATTTGAATCCTTTGCGCGTTCTACTAAAATTTACATACTCTGGCATTGGCAATTCCAGGGGAAAGTAAGGCTTAACAGGAAAGATAGTTTAAACTTAAAATAAATGTTAGTTTAAAATAAATATAAACCCTACAATACTTCTTTGCCTTTGGAAATTCAATCCTCATCAATCGCTAACTGACTCAAAACTTGTGCAAAATGTGGCGCTGCAGTTCCATATGTAACTGTTTCCAAACGACAAACTTGTATTGTTTATACGTGCTATCTTTCCATAATATTCTCTGAAAATCTCTATCTTTTTCATGGACCTTTTATCTGTCTGTACATCATTTTAATGTCACCGGTTATTGCAATGTTATGAAGTCTAAATTTTAGTAAAATACCAAATTAAAGTCATCTTGCATTTTTGGGCCTATCATTAGCGTATCATTTAAAGAAACATATGTGTTTGTTTTAGCACTCGCATCGAAAGCAACTCTCCAATTTTGTTGTTAAGCTAGAGTTCTTCAACACGAAGTGATGTGGGATATACTAGGGCAATCCCCCCCAAAAAAAGGTCTCCTATATTTTTAGATATACAAAGAAACATTTATTTTCTATAATTGCTACATCTCTTTAAAGATTGAAGAATGCTTTATTTTTCAACATAATCGCCATTTCAATCGATGCATTTTTGTAGACGCTGTGGCAGTTTTACAATGCCCATGTCATACCAGCTTGCCGCCATGCCCTTCAGAAAGTGTTGACCCTCATCTTTCCAAGAAAGCCAAGAAGTTGTCCTTTTCGTCTCCATAGCGGCGAAGAAATTCGCGGGAAGAATAAACCCGTTGCTGTTTGTGGTCTTCTGTCAACATACGCGGCACACATCTTGCACACACCTTCCGATATTACAACTTTTCCGTTAAAATCCTGTGGATGGTGCTTCTGAAAACCTCAGTAACCAAAATGCAGAAAGCATCCAGAGTGATCCTCCGATCTTCACGCACAAGTTCCTTAAATTTCGCGATTGTCTCATCGGCAATTGACGGCCTCCCACTCCTTTCTTCGTTACGAATTTCAGTACGACTGGCTGTAAACTCTCTACACCACTTGCGAACTTTTTTGACATCTATGCACGACTGTCCATACACTTCCGTCAATAGGCGGTGAATTTCAACCGGTTTAACGCCGTTTGCATTAAAAAATCGAATAACTGCGCGCACTTCGCACTTGGCGGTAACGTTTATCGGGAGTTCCATTTCGAATGGCTGCCAAGCCAAGACTGAGCATCCGAGCGAAGCGCCTGCGTGCTTATGTGGTAGTGGAGAAAGCACCACTCACAACAGTGTTGCCAACAACCGTATTAAAACTTTCTCTACGTCCCCCAAAAATAGGAGACCTTTTTTTTGGGATTGCCCTCGTAATAGTATTTATTCTCTAATTCATAATCTGTGTCTGGCACTAATTCTACGTGTTCTAGTGAAAAGTACTCTTTCATAAACTGAATATACTGGTTGTAAATTTCTTTCATAGATAACAGCCTCTTCTCCAATTATTGAAATCTTCTGTGCGCCATTTCACGGGAGTCACCTAGAATATCTCTATTATGTTTGAATGGTAATGCAACTGAATAACGACCTGATGTATCTCTAAAATGCGAGTTTTTTAAATGTTCTTCACAAAGTTTTTCTTCATTTGTTAAAGGTTGTACATTTGGAAACTTTTCTAACTCACAGAAAGAATTTACTAACTCATCTGTGTTTGTATTCAAATGATTTACATATACTGGCTCAAAATTCGTAGATTCAAAATTTGTAGTATCCGAAATTATCCATCCCAACCTCGAATTTAGAGCAAATGGTAGATCAGGACCACGTTTGACAATTTCTCCCGTCATTAAATGCAGAAATACATTTACTCCAAATAAAATGTCAATTGTTTGTGACTTGTAAAATAATGGATCAGCTAATTGTAAATCACTGAAGTTATCGAAGATGATTGATGGCAAAGGTACATAGGGAATGTTATCCGTCACCTTGTCCAGTACAAACGCCGATGTTGATACACGAATATCACTTTTAAAATGAGAAATGAATACTAAATCGACTTCCCCATTACTTATAGTATTAAATTCTCCTAGACATGATACATAAATGGAATTATCTTTCACTCGTAATTCTAATTTCTTCCACAATCCCTTGAAATAAATGATCTCTGAGATCCAGAGTCACATAAACATCTACACTTCACAAACTGTTGTTCAGAATTTTGAACTTTTATTAAAGCAGTACACAATAAATGTGACTGGTTTGATTACCTTTTGCATTCGAATCATAATGAGAGGCACAAACTGTGGCTGAAACATCCTTAGGAATCGTAAATTCATCTCTTTTAGGGATAGATTGGGTAGGCTGAGATATACTGTTTAACTGAGTTTTATTCTTTAAATTACTTACAATGTGGAACATACTGTGATGCTTCTTAAAGCAATGTTGACATGTATTTAAACGCTTGCATTTTTTGAGCAAGTGCATATTAGATAAACAATTAAAACAGTAACGATTAGATTTTACAAATTCTATCCTTTGCTGAACCGATAAATTTAGAAATTTCGAACATTTGGCTAAACTAGATCTTCTTACAATAACCACAACCCAAGTGCAAACCAGAACATTATTCTTATTTTGAAACACAGATTTAGGTACCTTAAATTACTTGCTAGACTCTGCTATTTTGAAGTGTTCTTGCATAGTGTTTTAGGAATTCACTTTAAAGTTGTAAAGTTTTGGAATATCATTACATTTTAACTGACGTTCCCACCATAATTTTTGTAGAAAGTGATCTAATTTTGGCAAAAAATTAAGTCATAAAGTGTCACCAAAATTATTCAATTGTTTGATTCAATACTTCTAAAGAACGAATTTACTTCATTAATACTGTCAACTAAATTTAAAATAGCAAATGCTGATTCATTTTGATAAGTTGGTAAGCTTAGAAAATGTTTAATATATGCAAAAATTTGTTTCTCTCTTTTATTTGAATATCTTTCGTCTAACAGATTCCATGCTATTTCAAAATTTCAATCCGAAGTTTGAATGGTTTGAATAATGCGATATGCTTCACCTTTCAACGAAGCCTTCAAATGCTGCAATTTTTTAGCATTAGATAAATTTGTATTATTTCTTACACAAGCACTGAAAAGATCTTTAAAAGCTATCATTCTGTAATATTACCACCAAAAGTCGGTAATGAAGCGAGCCATTCTACATGGCTGTCACAAACACAATTCTATCAATCAATTATCTTGTTGCCACACATAAAGTTCAAAACTAAAGGAAGAAAAACAAAAGAAATTTACTCTGTTTGCAACAATAAAATGAAACAAACGATACTCACATAAACACTACATGTGGCGCCCGAACAGGACCTTATTTATTCGAATGTGAATTACAGGTAAGGACAAATTTTTTATAATCACCGTATTCAATTGAACTTTTGAAGGATTTTTCTTCGAATGGTGTGACTGTACCCCCTTTTCAGCAGCCACCCGTCCTAGTTTAAATACTTTTTATCTGTCCCCTTTTTTAAATCTTGCGGCCTATTTTGGCGATCGCCTTTTTTTCTATCCTGAAATTTATTCCCGTTACAAGATGTTATCGCTTTTTCCGCATATGGCCTGGAAAACTGTCCGTTTGGTCTTTGGCCAAAACTTCTCGTATGCTTTTTTTCTGTCTGAAGTAACCCAGAAACCAGCTTAAATTGTACCTTTTAATCCTACTTATACGAGAAACTGGAATATCATCGTGGCAAGAAATGGAAGTGAGAAAAGACAGAAAAGAAAAGTAACTTTGAACAAAACTGGTTAGTTTAAAGGACAAGAAAAAGAAAAAGTGTTCGGAACCAATGCCCTAGAAGCTTGATTTACCAGAGTTACTAATGAAACTAAACAAAGTAAATACGTTTTCTGCCCTGTTGTGGTTCAACGGTAATAAAAATTTTATTTCATGTCATGTAATTGCTGATTAAGCGAAAATACAAAATTCTTTTTCTTTAACCGAAAACTGATTTGACGTTTCTTGCGTTGACATTCTTCCTCTCATTTATTTTCAAGTTTTCATTAGCAGATTTTTTTTACCACTACAGAATGCCATTGAGTCTTCTGACCGAATCCCAACTTCCTTTAAAATCTTTTCTTTAAGGGAAGCATTTCTGAGAAGTTTTAAATTTTTCTGTGGTGTTCAGATTTTACTTTTGAACGAAGTCTAAAATATAAATAATATCAAAATTTTAATTTTGATGTTAGTAAAATCCCTTATTCTTTTGAAGAAAATTATTTCAAATTAAAAATATGTTTGTAAAAAACGGAGACAGATGAATGAAAAAGATGAGATTATGCAATTCAAATGACGTAGCATTTTGGGAATATTTCGTTAGTTTTACATTTACAGTTTGGTTTGCAATTTGATAAGCAACGTGACGTTACAGTTTATTATCATTATCTGCGTTGTTATGACATTATGTTATCACTTTCTTGGTGAGAAGTTAAATGTGATAAGAAAGCACAATTGCAATTTCCGAAACAAATAGTATTGATTATAGTTTGTGGATAAAAACTCTGGGTAGCTCTAAACTGAAACACTTTATTCTGACTGTTTCGAGACTTGATGCTATGCTGTAGTACTTAGCAATGAATTTATCGCAGTTCTTGATTGTTTTCGAACCAACTGTTAAAGTAAGTATGTTAGAGATGAAAGTACTGAAAATGAGTATGCTAGAGATGAGAGTACCGAGATATGGCCTACTGAAAATCTTCCTTCAGCGTTCTAATTTTGTAAATTTCATTCTCAGTTCTAAGATATCAGACGGGCTTCAAAAGCTAACATTGCGGATGTGGCCAAATTTAATGAAGTAAGTATATAAATATTTTGAATGAAGTACGTATATCAACTTTTTATAGCTATTTTGATACATTCCTATTTTAAATAGTTTCATTTTTATTATTTTTCATTTCATATTATTTTATTTATCGCATTATTATGCCAAAAGAACACACAGCATTCACTTAGAGGTTGAATTTTTCTCGTCAAAGGCGGTTTGTAAAACTTATTGTTTATAAATAACTAATTTTTTACACTTTTAAGCAAAGTTACACAGCTACAGTTTTAAGCATAAATAATATTAAAAGTACTATAATGTTTCTACATTCCTGAATCTATTAGAATGAGAAATAACATTGTTATAATTTAAAAAATGAATTAAAGTTCTTTCACTATTGAGAAAATATATACCACTCTCAGAACTGGAAATTTGTGAAAGAAAGGGCTTGATTAATGTTGCGAGCTTGATTCCGCAACTTGATGCAAAAATTGAAAAGAATATATTATAAATATATAACCAAAGATTGTCTTGAGAATATATATATATTTAATATTAGAATTTAATTGTTATCTCCTATGAAGATTATTTCAATATTATTGTAATTTAAATAAAATATATGCAATTCAACTAATTTAAAAGTGTGAAAAATAAATACTAAATTAGGCTGAATGGTAACCATTAAAATGTTATTCAAGTGTACCTGAGCATATGTGTGATACATTATAAAATAATACAAATGAAACAAATTTAAAAAAAAATACAGTAGATACAAATGTAAAAAATCAAAATTATCGTTTAATTGCAAAAGGAGAACTGATTTTTAGGTGAAATAATTTTAATTTATGTATATCACGGAAATTTGGAGATTATTGCGTTTCGTAATAATCAATCCTTGAATATATATATAAATAATAAAAATATCATCTTTAGAATTTGGTACTTCAGCCTACTTCTTTTCCTTCATAGATTAAATTCTTAGCGAAATTTTATCGAATCTATATGGAAATCAGCCATTTACAAAACTAACTTAAGCGACTTTTCGTAAAACAGTAAAACAAATATGCACAGAAGAAGGTTTAAAATAAACTTGTTTGTTGTAACTTGATATAGATTCATAGCGCGTGCTTTTTCAAATCATTCACAGCAGCTTTTGGGATTAAAGTTAACATAAAATATCAAAGCACAATATTTAAAGTAGTAATACTGGATTTTACGAAGAAAATGTTAACACGGCTAGCAAAAAGGTTAAAACCGATAACTGTAATTTTAATAGATAAGCGGGAAAAAGCATGAAGGTGAGTTCTCTGCCGAAAGAACTTTGAAGGGAATACACATTGCGAAAGGTGTTTTAAAAGAAGTAACATATAAATGCATTTCAGAAGTTCAAACAATATGAAAATTTTCAGTGTGTTATTTATTGAAAAGTATCAAAATAAAATTTAAATTTATTAGTTAGAGCTTCAGAAATTCATGATAAGGAAACAATTTAACATAATTACACGTATTCTGCATATCTAGATTTACAATTTTATTGTGAAGTGCTGTAATATTTCTCTTTTTCTATAAATAATTTCACGAAAACAAACAAAAACATTTCAATGTCTGAAGATCACTGATAAGACGCGACGGTAAATTTTGAGGCTGGGAAGCGTATGAAGTTATCACTTTGTTGAATCGCATATTTTTCTAAAAAGCGGCAGATTCTACATGGTATCAACAAACTGAGAAACTTATTTTATTTTCAAAGAGTCAGCCTTTTGCTTAATATGCCCAAGAAAACTTAGGCTTGAATATTCTGTGATAAGTTAGAGAATTTGATAACAGTCACATAGTTAATTTTTTTATGTATAATTTTGTTTTGTGAGTGCAATTGTTTTTATTATTATTTATAACTTTTATTCAAAGTATTAATAGTAGTTAACAATCTTTTCAGTTATCGCCAATCATTCTGAATGAAGCATTTTCAGTCAAAAATATTCTACCTTTTAATCTAGCAATATTTATGACGCTATCTAGATTTATTTTAGTAACTGGTCATACTGATCCCTAGTTTTTGAGTTGATAAATAAAAACTGTGCTAAGATGATCTGCTCAGTTTTTCTACAGCTATACTTTCTCTTATTCAAAAAAGATATACTTGAGTCTGATTATATGTGCGGTACAGTTTTATACACATAAGGTTTGAGGAACACTTCTTAAATTAGCTATTTTCGTTAACTTAAGATACATATTATATGGCTCAAAATATGACGCAATTTTTAATGTTATTTAATTGCTGATGATTAGGGATATTGCTTTCATACTTTGAGTATGCTTTTGATACATTGAAAGTTAGGTTAAGAATTATAAATTGTTTCCTTGACTTTTGTGGATTTATTTAATTTACTTAACAGTTATTCTATGTTTAAGCAGCTCCCCTATCGCTCTTCCTTTCAACTCACATTTTCTGCCCAGAAAGCAAATTTACTAGCGCTCGGATAATAAAATGAGAGAGAAAGAAGTTAGTATTTATGGGAAGGTTTTGGTGGATGAAACCAGAGCGTGTTCTTCCTCCTTGAAGGCCACGTTGCTAACATTCATTACCTAGTAATTAGAATTCTGTGGCTTTGAGCTATTCGTGTTATTTGGCTTGTTTACGCTGACTTTCAAGTAAGAGCTAGCTTGCGCGATAGTTAATCTGTGAAGCCGTTCAGCTATACGTAACTTCATTACTTTTAAGTTATTCACTACCTCTTGAGTTAAACCTAAAAGTGTTGGCTTTTGTAAGCAAGAATTGGTGCCGTCTATGAACTTTGTTTGAGCTAATAAAGGGCCCTTTACACCATTCTCTTGATTTTGTAGTACTTTAAAGATTTAGTGATTATTTACTAAACAGTCTTCTAATGTTGAGCTCAGTTTATGATAGCAAGCATACAAGGCTGTTATAGACTTTATTCCTGTTGGTCCCCTATGGTTTTGATTCGTAACATTAATTGAGGTTTTCATTCGCATCATGAATGGTTGAAGTGATATGTAAGATTATATGTAATAATCAATTTTATTACATAATAATACTACTGAAAATGAAAAAAAAATTGACAAAAATTTTGCAGAACATAAACATCAGTATAGAAATTAACTATTATGGCGCTGTCTCATTGGTGATGATATCAATGATATGTAGTCAACGATTACCAGCAACATGTTTGAGTGTGAAGCTTGAATTGTATGCAATTTAGAAAATTTAAACATAAATAATTAATAATGCCAGTATAAGATTAGCTGCAATATATACTTCTCTTAAGATTAGCTGCAATATATACTTCTCTTACGTTAAGAATACGAGATTAGGCTTTCTCTCTTTAGTTAGTTACTCTTTATTATTTATCACGAAAAGAATTTTAAAATTTGGAATATTTCCAGAAATGAAATTTCAGTTTAGCTTTGGATATGAGTGCACAATGTATAAGACGTAATTTCTTAGGCAAAATTTCTCTTGTTTTAGGCTTTATTCGAAACGTTATTTCTAAACAATAATTATTTGTGGCATAAAAAAAATAACATGTTATTCTTACAGGCCGCATCGAAACAAAACTTGCCCTATTAATGCTCCATTTTAAATCCCGTCGTTCCAATATCAAATCAAAATCGCTTTATTTAGAATTTCCATTTAATGTTCATGTGTTATAGGAATTTATTCAGTTAAAATTCAGAAATGTCATTCCGACTGAGCAGCCTTAATCCCTTCCTTGAAAAAGACCTTAGTGTTATTAGCTTATTTTTCGGTTTATATAACTATTCGTTAATCGTCTCTTATTTTGATATTTATTTCCAAGATTATTTTTCTAGTGTGTGCACTAGGATGTACGTTTCCTTTATATTAACTAGCTACCACAAATCTTTGATTAAAACAAATTTGTTCTCATACATGTATGGATTCAATCTTTTTTGATACTTCTACTAAATTTATATTAGAAGATAATATAATCAATATTTCTTTAGTCATTAAGACATATTTCATTATTTCATATTCATAAAGAGAGAGAGACATAGACATATACTCTCGTATGTCTATGATAGGAAGGACAAATCTTTTTAATCAAATAATATTAATATATAATATAGATATATAATATATATAATATGTAATTATATATATATATAAATATTATATATATATAATTAATCATATATATATATATATATATAATATATAATATATATATATATAATATAATATGTAATAATACTATATATATATTATCGTATATATATATAATTATATCTCTGATCTCCATATATCTCTCCTATCTCTCTTCTATATCTCGCTCATATCTCTCTATTCTCTCTAACTCTCTTCTCTCTCTCTCTATCTCTCTCTCTCTATCTCTCTCTTCTCTCTCTCTCCTTCCCTCCTCTCTCTCTCATCTCTTATCTCTCTCCCTCCCCCCCCCCCTCCGCCCTTCCCCCCCCTCCGCCCAAGCCCCAAAAGAGATGAAATTCTAAACCATGTTTTTATGAACAGAGGGCCAACTCTATTCTAAGTCGTCATGATAAAAGCTCATGACGTGAAGACTTAATTTTTAATAACCTTTTTTTTTACTGTTTGTTTTACTATATAAAAAAATTACTTGCTTTTAATGTCCCATTCGTATGATTTCAAACTTTCCATCGCTAATAATTTCGCCAAAGAAGTTAAACTGGCAAACTTTGGTGTCTACTTTTCAACTTCGGTCTTTTGGTTTCTTCATTTGCCTAACAGTAAGTTCTGAAACCAATTCTCTGTTAATTTTTAGGTATGTTTTATATTATTCATATTATTTGCGTTTATTTCTGTAAAAAAGGGCTTAATTATTATTCTTTTACTTTATTGGACATTGAATTTATAACATATGGATTTGTTTTTGTATAATTTCAGTTCATTTTCGAAATTCCTTTGAGTAGAGGAGGAGTTTAAAATTTTCGGGTGAAATGTTATAATTGAATTATTTACAATGGTTCAGCGGGTCCTTTTGGATTAACAAAAACGCAGTGGTTTTTCGAGGGGGAGGAAGGGATACAATTGAATCTGATTTACCTCCTCTTGATAATGCTGAACCAAATTTTGGTTGCATTGCTGTTTCTATATATAATTTGTTATTTTTGTATTTCCCTTCTCTGTAATGGCTTGATGACTATTGTTTGATTTTTTACATATTTATGGGGAGTTTTGAATTTTATAATTTAATTTCTTTCGCGTCTTTGTGGATTTGGTTTTAGTTTCTTATTTCTTGTCTATAATTGATTAATTTTCAGCAGCATAGTGCACGTAAATTATGTTGGGATAATTTTCTTTTAAAATAAAATTTTGTGATACTTTATTATATATGTACATGAACAATAAAAACGAGCATTGTAAAGAAAGACTTCTGTGTATATAGTGCTTTGTGCCAAAATATTTATCGATGTTTCAGGAGATATTCGAAAGCCTGAATAACATACATTTAATTTCTTAAAAGTGCAACAGAAAAATACAGAGAAATTTATTTATTTAATCATTATTCTTAAATATTTTTCAGATTCCTGCATGTTATTTTCTTCCATGAAAGTTTAAGGATCATGCACGGAAAATCAGAATTTCACGGAATCAATAATTCGAAGCATAATGAAATTGAAAATAAAATCACTGGCATCCAAACCAAGTCAGATTTGGATATATATAGAAAATTAAATTCACACGCTTTAACGATAAAAGATCTATTCGATTCTGAAAGACAGTTCCTCCATAATAGCAATTTGAGCATTTTCCTAATAATAAAGAATACATTCGATTCCAAGAAGTTATCTATATTCGCAATGCCGTTTTCCTTGTCAACAATAAAGAAAATATACGATTTAAAAAATGAATTAATCAATAACTGGAATAAAAGTATTTTCTTCGATGATAAAGATCATGTTCAATTCCAAGGAAGAAGAATTCTATGCTTGCTATGTAGTCTTTTTATCGACGATAACGAATACATTCGATTCCAAGAAGAATTTTTCTGTGGCTGCAATTCTGATATTTTTCAAGGCTGAAGAACACATTCCGTTCCAGGATGAATTAATTTACGTGCAGTGCAGATTTGGATGCCAACGATAAAGAACACATTCGATTCCAAGAATCTAATTATTAAAATACATTCGGTTCAAGATGAGTTAACATAACGATTTCAATGCAGGCGGTTTCGTCAGCGAGGAAGAATACGTTCGATTCCAAGAAGAATTTCTCTGTGCCTGAGATACTAATATTTTGTCCAAGATTGAAGAACACATTCGATTCCAAGATGAATTAATTTACAGCTGCAGTGTAGATATTATTGTCAATGATAAAGAACAGATTCGGTTCCAACAAGAATTTCTCTGTGCCTGGGATGCTAATATTTTTGTCCAGAATTGAAGAACACATTCGGTTCCATGATGAAGTAATTTACAAGCTGCAGTGCAGATATTATCGTCAATGATGATTGCTATGCTATCTTCTTATCAACGATAAAGAATACATTCGATTCCAAGAAGAATTTCTATATGGCAGCAGTATTAATATTTTGTCCAAGGCTGAAGAACATATTCGATTTCAAGATAAATTAACTTACAGCTACAATGCAGAATTTCTCGACAACCTTGAAGAACACATTCGATTCCAAGAAAAATCAATATTTAGAATGTAGTTGTTTTGTGTCAACGATGAAGAACACATTCAAATTCAAGAACTTCTCTATATTTGCAATGCTATTATTTTCTCCAAAGCTCAAGAGTACATTCGATTCCAAGAAGGTGAAAGGCTGCTGTTCAACAAGGTTGAAGAATACTTTCCAGTTCCAAGAACAACCAACTCTGTGATTGCATACATAGCTTTTCTTATCAATGATGAATAACATGCTACATTCCAAGAAAAACCACTCTGTAGATGTAATGTAGGTTTTATCGTCAATGATAAAGAATACATTCGGTTCCAAGGAGAATTATTCTACAGTTACGATGAGCATATGATAGTTGGAATAGTTTTTAATGAATATTGTGAAGTTAAGGAAATATAGACATTTACACATAATTTATATGATTGTTTAAAACTGACAAATATGAAATATGTTGTAAATAAAGAATTATTTTTATGTACATATTAGAATTATTTTTCCATTTTAATGTAAATTTCAAGAAGTAAAAAAACAGTTTTTAAGACTTGAGATTGTAATTGCGAAGCATTTTCTGAATTTGCCAACAAATTAAAAGTGGCTTAAACAACATGTCTTATATAGAGAATTTATTTCACGTAGGTTAATTCAGACATAAGTAGATAAACATAGATACATAAAAGTAGGTTTAAACATAAGTGTGTGCATAATGTAGGTATATTTTCTCTTTAAATTGTTAGAATATCAACAAATAATACAAAAGATTTATTTTTATCTATCGCAGTAATATTGCTCATATTATACGCAGTGAAGTTTAGTTATGTAATAATCCTCCAGCAAAAATCACAGTTCAATTTAGTGCAGTAGTTATGGAAATATTTACAAGAAAATGCCATTAATATCCCATAATTTGCCAAGAAAAGTAGACAAAAAGTATTTTTAATTTTTCTTAGCTTCATTTCAGGAATAAGTTGAAAATCAGTAGTCATACATAATGAAGCAATAGTACAAAATGTTGCAATACGAATATTTTGTTTAACGTGTTACAATTTATGGATATCTCCAAACCAGGAATCCAAATAAAAATGTCAGAAACTTTCTGAAAAACGCTTTCTAAGCGACTTGAGAATATTTTTTAGCAAATATAATCCTGTTTCAAATATTCTTTTACATTTGGCTTATCTATGAAAGATTTAACACATGAGGAAAGGCCACAGATTTTGCATTTTTTAGATAACAGTAAAGCGCAGGAGTGCTATCTGCCTATGGATAGAGATAACTATGAGGAGGATTTTTTATGGTAATGTGGCTCGTATATAAATCACATTCGGGGACTACCACTACCTTTGCAGCCAACCTTTTCTTAGGCTTTTGAACTGAGATCAAGCTACCAGTGTTCATCAATTTTGTCCGCTTGGCCCCATTCTATAAGTAAATCAAGAATATTAACTTTGCATATTTTAGCTCAACATCTTGTACAAAATTTTAATTTAAAAAGCTAATTTCTTTTGTCTTTTAACCTTACACAATAAAAACTGGAGGTCTGGTATATTTTTAAGCAGCATTGAAATTTAAATATTCTTTACTAATCAGTCTTATATTTTCCTATTTTTCAAACTGAAAAATTTACTTCAGTATCAGTATAAAACTGATAATTTTTCATTAAAGGAATATTTCATCAATATCAAAAAAAATTAGGAATTTTCTGTAGCCTCAAAAATCTCTTGTATTGAGTTGATTACAGAAATGGTTATTTTACAGAAGCATTCAGTGATTGTCCGATATGTATTAAAAATTCCTCAGATTTTCTTCTTCTGTTTGATTGCAATATCTTTTGACTAAATTTCCGGTTTAATTTGATGAAAAACATTTATCACATAAAATCACATAAAATATTAAACTTTTAGGGAATTAGAAACTATTTGACTGTTTTAACTAGACGATTTCAGTAAAACAAAATAATAATAAATACAAATGAGAAAATTATCTATTTCGTTTCTCATAAAACCTATTTCTTTTAATGTATTAAAGTATAAGTTTAAAGTGTGAATAAAAATATGTTTAATAAACATTTTTATTTGATATAATTACGAAAATCACTAATTCAAATTTTATATAATAAGCAAAACACGTTTTCAGGAAAGAAAAAAATTAAGATAAGTTACTTTATAACATCAAATTAATGTAACATAGATATGATCCGTAATATTGAATAGTTACTGAAATATTATAGTTCTTTTACTGTTTTAATTGTACATTGTTTGCCAAATGTTAAACAGGCGATAGCAAATTTGAGATACGTTTGAAATAGAAACGTTTTGCAATGATCCAACCAAAAGATAGCCAATTTGTTTATATCCTCATGATTAAAATTATAATTAGCAAAATATACGTAGATATGTTTCAATCATTTATATATACACCTCACATTTTATACGTCCACAACAACAACAAAATCTGCAAGCTACGTAAATGAAAAGAACTTACTTTAATAAGGAATATGACCGACCACATCTGACCTTCAAGCAACCTCTGTAGAGAGACTGTATAGATTTATTTAGTAGAGTGCACAAGACAGTTGCTATTAATAATATCCATTTCACTAATAGGGCAGTGTCTAGTTCTTTGAGAAGAACTCGAAGAGGTACGCAAGCAGAGCTAATACTCCCAAGCGCTTCCTACAGGTTTCCGATGGGATAAGATTAGGCGAATCCATTCAATGGGCTCAACGCCTTTACTCCTATGGTATTCCTCCACTAGGTCTACTCTGTGGGGACGAGTGTAGAAAGTGCATAGAAAGTGGTGTCAGATTATGCGATTTTTCGTAAATTTGCTACATTTAACAAGCCAGTGCTGCTAAAATTTATATATATGCCAATTTTTCTTGCATTTTTCCCATCATTTTCTTGAAGTATTTTTGGCAATTAAAAAAAAAATCAATAATATATTCAAAAGTGCACGCATGTTAAAATTACGTATCTATCCAAATTAACTTTTAATGAAATGTTATTTATTTAAGCTTAAAGTTGGAAACATTCAATCCTGCAATCGCAGCACCCTGCATCAGTTGGGTAATCTATGCGTAATCTTCCAAAGTTAAGTCTCTCTACAGATTCTGTGTTAATTAAAGTGTAAATAATGAACATATTTATCACCTCTTTTCAGAATCCTTGACTTAAAAGAACCGAATTTCATGCAAGCTTAAATTATTTGAATATGGCGAAGAATGTGAAGGCTATTTGCCTAAGGGAAGGGATGTCTTCTTGGAGAACATTTTAATAGAAACTGGCTGGAATTCACATTACACACGGGGAAAACTAACCATGCAGCCAGGCTCACTGCTGGGTCAGAACCCTGACAGAAAATGCAATTAAATGCCTAGTTAGTGCTGGCTGAACTACTAGAATTTAACGATCTTAACTACTCGACTATTGATAGGGCATATCGAGAAAGAATGAAACGGATAAAAAAGTTATTGCAAGCTATATAAAGGGGAATTCATAGTATATAAACTGATTTAACCCTTTGAGACACAGTGTATCCCGTCTGGACACACCTAAAAATTTCCTTCCGTACGCACAGAAAAAGTGAATGAAAAAGAATTTATAGGTTACTATATGTTACTCGGAATCTTCTTTATTTATAGTAGATGGTAGCTCAACACAAACCAGTCACATATTTTAGCCATGTTTAGTTTTTTAAAACCCTCATTTTTCAAAGAAATATTCCAGATATTTTAGGGTATAAAAGGACTTATTTGAAAAGAAAGTTCTATGTTATTTTTTTGGCTGCATACTAATCTCCTTATTCTATATTAGTTTTAAATTTTTACCTTGAAATTTTGCCTAAAATTAAACGGCGAACCCTAGGCGTGCCCAGACTGGGCTCACCGATAATCTAGGAGAACTGAGAGTCTGTATTCTCTGTTTCTCCGCATCTCATCGGTCAGTTCATTGACAACAATGCTCGTTTTAGCACTCTTTTCGAACCCCTATTCCATCAGTGTGCCCACTTTGGGCACACCCACAGAATTAAATGATAAGTGCTATCTTCACAAAATTTTACTTGTGTACTCTTCTAGGCCTAATTAGACTGCCTACTCTTTTTTTTTAATCAAAACTCCAACTTTAAAAGGTAGCGTGCCGGAAAGGGTTAACGAGGCACAGTACTTCAGTAAAGCATAAGCAAAATTCTCAACAAATTCTGCTACAGAGTGCATAAAATGTACATTTGAAAAAATGAACAGCATAATCCAATTTAAATCGAAACTGTATCTATTGCTTGTTTTGCATCATCCGGTCTGGGATTTTGTATTTACGCAGATCGAAATTCAAAGTGTTTCATTCTTTCACCTGAATTGTTCAAAGAACAAGTCAATTAACATTTCATCTTTTTCTGTAATATTGTATGAATCTACAAATGATCTTTGTTATAAGCATCTGTCCTTATAATGAAACAGGAAATAAAATACAAATACAGTTTCTAGAACTTGTGCAAGGTGGAGAGTCTTAAAACTCAAAGCAATACCGGATTTTTACATAACAACAAAAAAAAAAAAAAAAAAAAAAAAAAAAAAAAAAAAAATAAAAGAAAAAGAAGGGCAAAATTCTGAAAGAGTTCATATTTTAACGATCGCTCGAAAGTATTTATTAAGGTTTTCTAAGCTCTCGCTGAGTGCAACACCAGTCTGCCGATGCACTCACTTCTGTTAACCCATTTCGGTTTAGTTTTATTAACAAGCATCATTTTCTTCGTCCTTACGCCATATACAACTGAACAAAAAAATTCCAAAATTTCTAAAAATAATACAAAATCATATGATTAGAATTAATAATGCAATGTTGAGTGTTGGCATCCAATTTTCTATTTTTTTTTCAGTTTTTCTCAGTTCATCATATCAATGTGTAGTTTTCTTAGTAAGATAGCTTGCAAAACATTTTGTGTGTTTTTATAATTAACGTTTCGTTCGCACGTAAACCACACAAAATTCAATTCAACAGCAAAATCGCAAAATATTTCAAAACAGCACATCTTTAGAATTTCCGAGAGACATTCTCGCGCATTGGAGATAAAAGTGTTTTATTCCGTTCAGTGTTGCTCACTTTCAGATCGTTGAGTTTGTCAATCAAATATTCCGTCAAATTTTACAAAATATGAAACATAAAATTCGAAATTCAAAATTCGGACTTCGAGGTACACATGTTTGAGGGGAGGAATTCGTTATTTAAAATTTGATAGCTATAGGTACGGAGCTGAATTTCTAATGAGATCAGAAGTCAAGTGAGCTCACATATATCATGGAGTATCTGACGTCTCGGGCTGCATTTTGTTTATTTTCCGATTCTTCTCTTGCTGCGATACCTCAAAAAGATCTATCAACGCTGCAGTAAATTTTGGACCAACTACTGCAAAGTAAGTCTCATAGCAAGGTCAAGGACTTCAGCCCGATACAATTTAATCACTATCATCTGTTTAATGCAGCAGGT